ACACCACAGAAACATTAAACAACCCATTACATTATAAATAACAGCTTACGTAAATCGCATCCAGTCACCCAATCATTTAGTTTGACAAAAACAAAACTAATATCTACAAAACTAATATAAAAAATAGATCGATTTCTATCGCCTAAAGCAGGACATATCCATTTTAGTTCAGTAATCGTTCGACGAACTTGTTATAATGAATGTACTCTTAAAACTTTAATGTTAACCGAAAAATCAATTTTCTAATTGATTAACTGTAGCACGCACATAAATCGCTGCCTACCTACTATTTAAATAGACACCTTTTTGTGCCATTTGTCTCTTAGCTACCGGACAAACTGGATCTGATGGTATAACGTTACATATATTTAACACTGTATCATGTTCTCAACCTAATGGATTGTTGTTGGAATATAATAGTAGGTACAATTCCTAGACTAGATTAGACATTGGATAGTTGCTGGTTCCTCAGAAATTTATTTTTATTTATATTTTTTTTTAATGTCCCAGCCCGTCTCACGTTACTAAAATGAGATCCGGGCCTGGCAAAGTAAACCAATCAGTAGTTTTACATTCCTGAATTTTAATAGATACCATTATCGAAACTTATTGAATATTCAAACAACATTAACGTATCAAGCCGAGCAAAATATTCCCACTTTAAAAACCGATCCGACGTATCAGATAATTTGCATTCTGCTAAGCTTTAGCTAATAACATTTTACGACAGCAGCGCTCCTGTGGCCGATAGCAAAACTAAAACGAACAAAACTCCGGCTCCCGATCACAGATGGCGTTATTTCAAATAACTGCACTAACCCTTAACGGGATCGAATTAAAAGTAATTGCAGTGCGGTTGGGTTCCGTCCATATTTTCATTTATTATCGTTTCTGCTGCTTTCTCGCTTCGTTTTCACAATAACAGTGCGAAACCGGCCATTCTGCGAGCAATAATAATTAGAGACCATTGTTATTGTACATTTAATTTGAGTTAGCGTGTTAAATGCAATAAGCGAACCACCGGGGATTATTGTTAATTTCTCAATTATTAAAATGAGTGCCGTTATGAGTCGTATGTCATAACTAATGTATGGAAATGAGGTATTTATTTAAATGGTTATGGGTGTGAACGGGCAGTTAAAATATAGAAACGGAAACCTATTTAAATATAATACCAAAATTTACTATTATGAAGTACCTATGTGTGTATTTTATGGTTAATTTAAACTCACTACGGCATCTATGAATAGTCGACACAAATTAGTCAGTTTATAATTTGATTTTCCTAAGGCCAGAGACATGCATTTGAATCAACAACTGACATCTATAAACATTTTGATATACCTACCTTTAAGTAACTTATCTTGGCCTCACATTATAACACAACCTTAATACAAGCAGTACTTCTAATATTGAACATTATGAAAATAAAGGCACTCGCCCTAAATAATTGTTTTTCCCATTACCCTAATGGTGGCATGTGACTTGGTCACATCATACGTTTGTGGCACCAAAATAAATTATCTTAAAACTAATGCCGTAGATATCTACTGTGTAAATGCATCCGGAGACACCGTAAACTCATATTCCCGCAATCACAAAGATTAGATTTGTTTCTGAATTAAATAAAATGAGAAGGAAGTGCGTGCGCTACGGTATTATGGAACGTCCTAACTCCAGTCATATCATTTCAACTTTTTCTATTACAACTCATGCAATTATTATTATGTACTAACCTATATACCTACCTATTAGTTTAATGCTAAAGAAAAACTTAGTTAATAATACATTGAATAATAAAAACAATAAGAACCTTGGAGAAATGGTTGAGTGAAGTAATCTAATGAAAAAAGTAACGTACATGCATAGAGCTGTGACGCCTGCACGTTTAAAATAGCAATATGCGTCAGAGTGAAAATGCATTGCCGTGTCGCAAAGTCAAGATAGTATAATGGTTATAGTAAGCTATGCAGCTGCTTCGTTCCCTATTAGCCTATATATTGTATATAAGTAGACATGAGTTTAATGAATAAGTACATATATTATTTCAGTTATTTAAAAAATGTTCCTCTCTAATATTTTCCATAATATCATAGGGTTACAGACACATTCAGTACCAGCACAGATAGGTCAATCGTCAAATATTAAATTCAAATCTATTAAAAATGTTGTGAATTACAATCACAAATTACCAAAGTACGAATTCGTCATAAGTAGCACACCAAGTGTTACGGAGAGTTATGCTTCGGCACGAATGGGCCGACTCGACCGGAGGAGTGATACCAGACCGACGGCCGACCAGAAAACCGATGTAAAACAATTAATGCATTGTGTTTTGTCGCGTTAGTGGGATTACCCGAGGCCCAATTACCCCCCTTCCCAATCTCGCCAATTCCCAATAATCCTCAAATTCCTAATCTCCAAAAAGCTGGAAACGCACTTGTAACACCTCTGGTGTTTCGGTGTCCATGGGCGGTGACGATTGCTTAACATTAAATGATCCGTCAGCTCGTTTACCCACTTATACCATAAAAATAGGCCTTTGTTTAGCTACTACACTAACCGTGCAGTCAGTTACTTATAGCATCCCTACCTAACTATTAGTTAAAAAACATCATAAAACTTAATTGTCACCATACATACCTAATTGACGTGGGTAGGTAGGTACTTAATTAATTCTTCAAACCACTTAATGAGAGGTGGGAGGTAAAGAAAATATTTTGTAAACTAACCGATGTTTGTGTTCCATTATTGCAGACAGTACTATGGAGTTTATTGTTCAAGTAATTGGGATATCGATTGACAGACACGTGTGTGAGGTTCGAAGTAAGTAGGTACCAACTGTAGTGTAATATTCAATATTGATAGATATGACCAAATACCAACGTGACATTATGTCTCAACCTTTTATTCCTCGAACATTTCACGTGACGCCACTTTTTATCTAAGTCTCATTTAGGTTCCATAAATATAGACAAGGTCAGAATTCAAGATACGGCGCTATTGTTGAGAGAATAACAATAAAACTGATTGTTAGATTTAGGACCACAAGACCTACAACTCAAAATTGTATTGGTCCTCGATATCTTAATAAACTAAAGTATTATTAATACAAGATTAAATAATATGTAGGTGCTGGTCTAGTGTCTGTCTGCTATTCAGTAGTTATGATTGTGACTTCTTCGTGTGGAGTAAGTAGAGACATCGCATACATAATAATATTGAATAATTTACCGCCAGGGACAGATTTACACAACTTTACTGAAACGTGAAGCAAGTAGAACGTCGTAAATCGAAGCGTCTCATGAATTTATAATAAAGTGTAATAAACAGCACAACTTTGATCATGCATAACCATCGCCGACATATGATGATTATTTATGTTTGAATTAATTCACTCGAGTCATGTGGAGCGCCTGACTATTCTGTACAGTGCTGTTGCAAGAACGGTTATATTGCTATTACACTGCTGCCAGAAGCTCAGACTAAAGGTTTATAACTTTATCACTTAAAAACAACGAACAATACGTCGCTATTTCACAGGCGTTTGCTGTTAGGTACCTTATTATAATCTCCTTTCTTAATAATATGCGTTCCATAGTTTATGCCTAACCAAGACAAAAATGTGTCTTTTAAAAATACAACGTTAGATATTAGTTGTGTATTTGTCTCCGTATTATATAAACTACACCTGGGAGATAATGAATACATTCTATTACTGAGTCATTTACTACAATGTTCATTGATTGTGTTACTTAGTATAGCAGTAATATGAATGGAATGTATTGTTTAGTCGTAACTAACAACATACAAACAAAACATTTAATACAGGTGCGTAAACTGCGCTAAACACTGAGCTAACTAGTCAGATGCTAGAGTTAGTATGGATGAACAAATTGAAATGGATAATGAAAACGATAGACAATATAATAATGTAGACAAACATTATCCGTATGAACGATATGAAATTAGTTAACAGCAAGTACACCTAAACATCGACAGTGCAATTTACCATCACTTCATCCTAGTTGAAAGTATTAAACATCTTTCTCAAATATACCATCGCAGTCATCTTCATCTTTACCCTTATTTGCAAAACATCTAATCTTATGAGTTTACGACTCATCGAGTGATTGATTCAGGGTTGTAGTGGCCGGGGTGAGCCGCCCAATTGTGCAATGTGCCGCTCTATTAACTCCTGCAGTGGCCACCTTCACCCAGCACTCTTCGTTTACCACCAGCCTTACTCAATCGTACCGCAGTTACTGATGTCATACCTACTCAACTATTAACGTTTCCACAGCTGTTACTATTTCCTAAGTCATGCCAATACTATTCTAAATAAAGTTGTATCTATTGTTCGTGTCCGGCGTAGTGCCGTGTTTGTTTCCACTTGTTGCTGTTGTCACATAGTTGCACTCCACTTCCAAGTGCTCAACTGGCCAGCGTTAATGGAACCCATTAAGTAAAAGACTCTTGGAACTCAAAACAATTGTTAAATTGTAAACAAGCGGAACAAAGGATGTAAACATGAAATTCTTAGAGTCCACGACGTATCGCAGGCGAGCCGCGGCCGCGGGCAGTCACCTTCCTAACTCACGGGTTGTGCATACCTCGGCCTCGCGACATTCACACGTTGTGACCACAGTGTAGCTAGTGCAGTGCGCTCTATCCTACGACTTACGATTAATCAGAGTAATCATCTACAATGGACATTTAGAAACATAAATCAAGTAATGATAATCGCAGTGCAGAGATTAACAGCTGCCGTATGTACTGAATACAATAGCACCGTTAGTTGTGCCCTAGAACACAACCCCCGACTCATATGAATACACTAATGGAAGTGAGCCTCACTACAGGCTGGGATATAGTTTCAATTTCTCAAATAAGAATCGTTCAATATTCCACCGATCTACATACCTCGGAGTGTATTCGAAGATAATGCGAAGGTTTCCTCCGATTTGATAGCCGGTAAACAAGTAGAATATGAGGGTGCAATGAGTGCTAACGTAACAGATGAATTATGTAAGATTTGTGACGGACGCATAGAGTGCGCGCCCACCGCCATCCTGCTGATCTCCCTGGTGCACACCCTGTACGGGCACATCGGGCCCGAGCCGGACTACTTCGGCAAGAACAGGCGGAACCTGCTCAAGCAGGTGGAGGAGGACGGCAAGGCTCCCTACAAACACTTCACCTACTTCGATAGGTTCCCCGAGGACCACAGCAAGAGGAAGGGCAGCGCAGACACCGATGGAGACTATGACTTCGTCGTGGTGGGCGGCGGGACAGCAGGCTGCGTGCTGGCCAGCAGGCTCTCCGAGAACAGGAAGTGGAAGGTAGGCGACACTGCCACGGGGAGCTTGTACTGACAAAATATATAAATAACAACTACCAATATCTAATATGAAATTCACTTCTGTGAAATCTGTTGACTCGTAAAACTTCGGGAATAAACAGTATAGTTAATGTTAAAACGTGTAAATATCGTGTTTAGTTTATATAGTATATATATAGTATAGTCAGAAGTAAGGAAACTTCAAGTACGATGTTCCATCATATAATGATTTCAGGTTCTCATGATTGAAGCTGGACCAGAGGAACCCAAGATGGCTTTGATACCCGGGCTGACGAGCGAGTTCAAAGGGTCCAGCGTGGACTGGCAGTACTCTATGCGACCAAAGAAGGGGTGAGATTCAGTCCACGTCAACATCACACGGGATCTGTCAACATATTGGATTTTTAAAATAATTACTCATCATGTACCGCCACTGGGTCAATATAAAATATAAATTGTAGTTTAGTAAGTAACTCCTACTCACAGACATAATACATGTAGATCCTAAAATTCAATCTGTTGGCAGATCCTAATGAAGCAACTGTAGTTTTTATAAATCATATAGTTGTAACACGTTACAGGTTCTGTCAGAATCGAGGTGATCGAGGGTGCGAGGTAGTGCAGGGCAGAGTGCTTGGCGGTACCTCCTCCATCAATGATATGGCATACATGAGAGGAAGTCCGGCCGACTATGACGAGTGGGCCGTCAACGGTAATGACGGATGGTCTTTCAGCGAGGTTCTACCTTACTTCAAATACTCAGAAGGAAATTACGACAAGGATATATCGAAAAACAAGTTTTTTCATTCAACACAGGGACCGCTCGATGTCGGCCGGTATCCATACGTCGATGATAACGTCGACGTATTGCTGAGTGCACTCAATGAACTAGGATACAACTATACCGACGTGAACGGCAGACATCAGCTCGGATTCATGAGGATACAGACGACATCGTACTTTGGTGAAAGAGTTAGTGCGTTCACAGCTTTCATTGAGCCCATTAGAAAGTTAAGATCTAATCTAGAAATATTATCAGAAGCTTTAGCAACTAAAATAATTTTTGACGATAACAGAGAAACAATCAAAGCTGTCGGTGTAGAATATATCAAAAATGGTACAAGAATGAGAGTTAAAGCAGCAAAAGAAGTTATATTGTGCGCTGGAGCTATAAACAGCCCAAAGTTACTTATGCAATCAGGAGTAGGACCTAAAGAATATTTAGAATATCTAGACCTAAAAGTAGTATATGACCTCCCAGTAGGAGGAAACTTTCACGACCACTTGTCAGTGTGCCTGCCAGTAATAAAACTAACAAAAACATCTACGACATCAAAGTTTCCTGAGAAGCTAAAAGACATCACGACATATTACTCTAAAGGCGTCGGACCTCTGTCAGCGAATTTCCAAGTGGTGGCTTTCTTGGAAACTACAATATCGGATATTTTAGGAACTCCCGACATTGAAGTGAGGTTCAAGGGACATGATTCAAACATGTATTATGACAAGATCGAAATGTGTGTATCGTTGTTGACTCCTAAAAGCCGAGGTCAGGTAGTTTTAAATGCCTCAGACCCGATCTTCGGAAAGCCTTTAATTTATCCGAACTATTTAAAAGATCCTACTGATGAGAAAAAGTTATTAGAAGGCATACAAGAAATTGTTAAATTATTCGATACAGACGTTTTCAAGAGTGCGGACTATGCCTTTGATCCTCGCCCAATACTGAACAATGACTGCAAGGATCATGACCGTGTGTCGGAAGACTTTTGGTTGTGTATCATCAAACACTTTTCAACACCGTTACACAATTACGCCGGTACGTGCAAAATGGGTACTTCAAAAGATCCTGATTCAGTAGTAGACAAGAATTTAAGAGTGTATGGAGTAAACAATTTGAGAGTCGTCGATGCGTCTGTCATGCCAAAAATAACCCGCGGTTCAACTGCGGCGCCTGTTATAATGATTGCAGAGAAAGCTAGTGATATAATAAAAACTACTTGGTATTAACACAATATTTTATTTACCTAAAGCTAACCGTCGTCACCGCCTACTGTAGTAATGACCGTTTGTCTCTTTCCAGTCTTTGATGATCATTTTAGCTCCCTTTTCTGCTATCATCATTGTGGGAGCAAAAATACCGCCTCTCGCATGCGTGGGCATTACTGAAGCATCTATTATCCTCAGACCTTCGATACCGTGCACCCGCAACTGGTAGTCGACGACAGAGTTCGTGGTGTTCGTTCCCATTCTACACGTCCCAACAGGATTACTCATTGCTTTTGTGTAATGTCTTGCTATACAATTCCATTGATCTCTGTTACTTAGTCTATCACAAGGAAATAGATCCAACGGTGCAAACTTAATGTCAGCTTTTTTAAATTCTTTTGTGTCAAGTAATTGTAGAGCAATATCAATACTGTCGACCAAAGTATCTAAATCTTCAGTTTCTTTAAGGAAATTAGCTTGGACTACCGGTCTTCCATATTTGGGGTTCCGCTTGTTAAGCATAACTTTTCCTCTACTTTTGGGTCGTAACAGCACAGGGTGGATATTAACTAAGTTGTAATATGGTAAAGGCATGTTTGATTCTTCCGCCGCGTGTACGCTAACATTGGTCAACATGAACTTATCGCTTCTAATAAAATTACCCTCTAAAGCCAGCTCGACATCGGGAGCGTTAAAGTTCTCATATAATTGTATAAACGCTGATACCTGACCGATACCTCTGGAGGCCAGCGGACCATTGCGGCTTTGAAACCATGTTTTAAAATCATTAATGACTTCAGCTTCCGTGACGACAGGGACGTCATTCAATGCAAATGCTAGACCGCCGATGGATACTTGATCTTGATAATTGAGTCCCACAGGAAGGTCAACCACCTGTGCAATGTTATGTTTTTTCAAGTCATCTTTGGGGCCAATACCAGACAAGTGCAGGAGTCTGACGTTATTAATGGCGCCTGTTGTTAATATAATTTCTCGTTTAGCGTAGGCTGGTCGTTCCTTGCCTTTCTCCACTTCGTACATGACGCCATCTACATTTTTCTCTTGCTTGTCAATGACTATCTTCGACACGTATGCTCCTGTCACCACGTGTAGGTTCTTCCTGTGTCTCACTGGTTTGAGGAACGCACTGTTTGTACTGAGCCTGGTGTTGTTGGAGATGGTAAACTGGTTGTTGACCACAGCTTCCTGCACATTTGTGTTAATATCTAGATTTCTGAGCCCCATCTCAGTGAACCCGGCTGTGAACACCTCCATGAACCGGTCCATGTGTTTAAACCGTTGTACGTGCATCTCTCCTCCACGAGAGTGGTAGTGGGAGTTCATTAGCACGTCGTAGTCTCCTTGAAAGTAAAGAACAAAATTAAGGATTTGATTATATTAAATGTGCATCGTATACTGATTAGCTGAGAATTAACTAAATACTCTAACAAACTACAAATACGATAACAAAAATAAATTATTGAGTGCAGCAACGACCACAAGGAACTAACCGTTATCCTCAAAGCTTTTAAAATGCTCTAACACGGCATCGAACTTCCAATCAAGCGAGCCTAGCTCTCCCGTGCTGTGCCACCCATCATAATCTGCTTTCGAGCCTCGAGTGTACTTCATGTCGTTGGTGACACTGGAGCCTCCCAGGACCTTGCCTGTCTTGACTTCGCAGCTGCCTCCAGGTCGAGACAGACAGGAGTACCCATTCCGTTCAGTCTTATAGTTCCAGACGATGGGCCTGTACTCCTTGGTAGGGACGCCAGGGATATCATAGTCTATGTTCTCGTCGATGCCTGCTTCTAGCAGCAGGACCTGTAACAGTGGACTCCGATGTAGGACGGTGTGTTATTGAGGTGCTATGTATATGATAGATACATATGTACTCAATAGCCAAGTGGATACTGATGACACTATTCATAACACATACTAAAGTGTTAGACCACTCCACATGAACATAACCTTCTAGCTGACTAATATAAATATGAAGGATGTATATCTTTGATAGTTGTGACAGTACCTTCCAATCGGAGACGGCAGACAGTCTATTGGCCAGCAGACAGCCTGCAGTCCCTCCTCCGATGATGATGAAGTCGAACACACTGTTCTTCAGATCCCTCTCATCCGCTTTCGTCCGCGTCGCCTTCGAAAACAAGTCCGCATCCGTCACTGCTACCAGCAGCAGCAGGTAACTTGCTACCTTACTGCGATTGTGATAAAATTCAAATTACATATTTCGTTCAACGTAACTACTATAAGTTTAAGATAATTATGAAAAATGTTCCATCGCTCACTTCGTGTCTGTGAGCTTAGTTATGAACACCAATATGCATTAGGTACGGTCACGACGCATCCTGTAGTTAACTATTATAAAATTTCTCAAGATATACATATTTGATAATAGGTTTAAGTAGGCTATCCAATAAGGTTCATATTACAAAGTAAAACTCATTCACTCACATACTCAATGAATGAATAAATAGTAATGTTATTGTAATTGTGTCTAACTTATCAGTTGGACACAATTACCACTGTGTGCATCTGATACCGAAACTAAGACAGTCAATTCATTTAATAAGAGATAAGTATCTATCACTTGTTCATGTTATGTAATTGTATACTGCTATTCAATAAATAATTGTTACTTTATTATCACAGGTGGGTAAAACACAGGAAAGGAGCTAAAGCTAAACCATATACTCGACTTATATTACGTGCATAATATAGAACCGTAAATAAATATATATACATATATTAAACGGTTGAACTAAACCAATTCAAACATAATTGTCAAGGTCCTAGAAACTACATATTAAAGTAATCTAGAATATGTAATTAATTTGAGATAATCAACAATATCCACGAGTTGCTCAATATTCGCCGGAAAGTTAACAAGTTTACCTGTTGTAGTAAATAGGGCCGTCCGTATTATAATGTCCTTCACTTCGTTCATATAACATATGATATTCTTACTTTAACATTATCTTTACAAGAAGCACTGGACACGCTTACATTCGTCACATGACGCAACGTGGACTGTTACCCTAAAGCCTAGCATTTGATATGCAAAATTAAATATATTTAAATCTATTTTATGGCGACCAGTACCTACTTAAAGTTGCGATGTTACTAGCACTTTCAATCATTAATATTCATAGAATCACAAGCTTGAGTCACACGACAACACAATCACCTCGTACCTCAATACTCTCAGCTCCATCGTCAGTCAAGATATGGATCACTGCACGTTCAACCAGCTGTAGGAGTCCACCCTGAGTGGAAGTGCAGCGCGAGGCGGCGGAGCACACACTGCAGCGGTTGCAACATCAGGATGTAGGGAAACTGCAAGCCATGACCCTCAGCCTCACTAGTAGAAGGTTCCCGGTTGAGGCAATCACTAGTTCCTTGTTTTCACCTCTAATTCTATTATGTTGTTAAACTACGATTACACGGATTTAGGAAGGATATACTTGTCTATACATATGTCAGGATATGTTCATGTCAATGTTAATTGTGATAACAGTCATTATGTACGTTTGTAAACAACAGTTAAACAAAAAAACGAAAAGAAAATTCTTCGCTTCTAGTCTGTGTCATGATTTTTTCCACAAGGCATTTTGTTTTGATCTTGAAGTCACCATCAAAGTACCCACTGCTTACATTACATTTAATAGAGTCTCCATACTGTGCTACACAATTGAATATCAGTAGGTACTTTAATGAAGCACTAATTGATAACTAGACCTATGTTACCTACATGAAAATATAGATCTAGGTACCCATACAGAACAAACAAACAGGAAAATCGTTGCATTGCTTGGAAACAGAGGAAACAATACCTAACACAACTAGAACATTACCTACCCAATTAAATATAATTGAAACTGGATCGTACATACTTAATTAACGTATCAAAATAAATAATTATAACTGTATATGTACATATATGTAGGTATATTACGAACATAGAACACGCTGAGTAACTACAGCTAGGTGCTAAATAGTCGGGTATAGTAACATATATGTTGTACCGGAACAGGCGCATGTACTGCCGATGACTATAAATCATTATTGTTGCAATACTGTACCCGCTGACTGAGTATACTACATGCGGCCTACGATTGCAAGTACTATCTAATTGTATTATCTTCGAAAACGTAGTGTAGATCATATTATTTTGTAAACACTTACATTAAATGTATTAGATAAAATATGTATAGATCATAAACGACTAATAGCGAGCATTGATTAACATCTTGTGAATTACATTCCAGTTCGAAAACAAAAGAAATAAGCCAGAAGAAATGTTTCCAATAAAACATAACATATCATCATGCCTTTTATCCTCGAAGGGGTAGGCAGAGGTGCACATTATGCCACTGTACAATGTAACACCCACTTTTCGCTATTTATACTATTTATGTTAGGTATGAGTCCCATGTAATAGGGGGCGAGCCTATTGCACTATACCGGGCACAATTCCAGACTCCGTGCTACTACTGAGATTTTTTTTTAATCCAGTAGTACTTTGTCCGACATGGGAATCGAACCCGAGACCCCTTGCCCGACAGTCGCACTTGCGACCACTCGGCCAACGAGGCGCTCCAATAAAACCTCGATGAATAACATATTGGTTAATGTCATAATTTTAATACAATGGTTTAGGAAGTGTGTGTTTGTTTGAGAAGTGAGTGAATGGTTCGTAATTATATTGGATCGTGGTTAGTTTTCTTCAATAGCTGTGTTGGAAAATGTCAGTACCCAGTACTCACTTATAATGCGTATTGATCGCTAACGTCACTTGACATTGGGATGATGTACTACACTACTACACATGCTACGAGTTCAGAAAAAACTATGAACAGTACAGCTGTTAACGATAGGGCGACGATAGCTAACAATTTTCTAACACAGTTTCTATCTAATAAAGTGTTGTGAAAGGCCTAGAGTTAGAGTAAGGCGTCTGGTTCTTAAGCATCTTGCGAGTTGGTCTGGCAAGCTACAATGTGACCTTTTCAGTTTGGTAATAGGTAATAATAACACTATTGTTATTAAGAAACCTGAAACATTAAAAAAAACACTATCGTTTTCTACAGATAAGAATAATTTAATTTTTGATTACAACAAGGTTTATTCTATTTGTAATAGTGATACCAAATTGACAAAATATGAAGCAATGTAGAAGTATTATAACTCTTATCTAAAAAATAATTCCAAATTATTAAAATCATATATGTTTGTTTGGATCACAAAAAATTCCAAAAACAAGGATCTTGTAAATAAAATTACAGAAGATTTGGGCTTAAAATACAAGATTTAAAACAGAAACATCCTGCTGACATTGATCTTGATTTTAATATTTCGCAAATGACAACTAAGTACTATGTTTGATGACTTAGATACAAGTGATGTAAGTAAATCTAGATAAATATAATTCTGAAATTATTTCATATTTTAAGAAAAAGATGAATTCTTTGTATCAAGATTTTTATTAAATTTTTTTATCACATATTTTTATTTATAGATTTGAATCATAAATAAAAATATTCAACTAAGTATACCTAATAAAAAGAGGTAAACCCAATATTATCTAAGTTGTTTTCATACTCTTCCAGATTTGTCACAGTAAACTCGTCGGAAGTTCCATTGTCTTCCTTTGGTTCCTCTTTGTCTGGTGTTGCATTAACCAACTCTTTCTTCTTTGCCTTTTTTATTATAACGACTATTTCATTTATCGTCGTCGGTCGTTATAAAAGAAATAATTATTAAAGAAGGTGTCGAATCTTTGAATTTTACAGATTTGTCCATACCGGATATAGATTTCTTATCTCGCAAAATGTTCTTATTACATAATATTTTTAAAGAAGAAAAGGAGAGGGGGACTTCTGGGCCCAGCAGTTAACTACGTGAAATATGTATCAAAAAAATCGGTTCATTTTTTTTAAGAAAATTAAAAATATGGTACCAGGATTCTACCCAGGAAGCGAGAAAACTTAAATTAAGATAATAAGACTAAATAATCGATGAAATAAGCCCTAGTAATCGATTATTATTAATAAATCACTAAAATCAGAAAATATTTGGCTGATCTTTTTTTTTGTTGTGTTTGTTATTGTTAAGAGCGCTTGCTCGCTTGATTGCGCCTACGAAGTTGCGGGTAGAAGCTAATATGTTTGTATATAAATATCAATTCATTAAAGTTTCGTGAAATCGATTTCATCGATTATAGTGTATTTTTTTTCTGACAGCCCTTGTTGGCGGCTTGCGTTTGATTGACATTGACTAACAGATGTACCTACCTACTTGTTTGTTTACTTTCATTCTGAGTGCGCACGTATTTTCTTTGTTTTATTGTTTAAACCCACGACCTCGGCTTTGCATATTATAACGGACTATTCGACGAATCTTGCTTCTCTGAATTACCTGACTCTCTATTTTGGACAACTGTTACACCTATCGATTGGATATCGACGACGTAGATCGCTGTATAAATTGTACGATTGCGATTGGTCGCAGTAATCCTATTGGGAGAAGTCTTGGAGAATGAGGCAATTTTAACAGTTATTCGTCAGTGGTGAAGTGAGTGATTCAAAAGTATTTCAGAAATTACATAAAAAAATCACAATATAACCTAACTTTTACTATAATTCAGATAACTTGGTTAAGCCAAATTTCACCAAACTCTCAGATAAGTAAGCCTTGATATTATATCCTCTTACATATAAAGCTAATTTCATTTAGTTAACACCTGGGCCCAGGAATCTACTAAACTAAGAGATATGATAACGATTAAAAATATGAAAGAAGTATCATTGAAAGAACATTTTAGGTTAATATCTAAGACATCACTTATTACTGAATTTGCCTATTATAATTATTTTAAATTTAAAAATGGTGTTTTAAACATTGCCACTGGTGAGTTTACTCCCATGGCTTATTCTTCACATATAATTGTTTTAAATGGAGTTGATTACATTATGTTTATAAACATGAAAGTGATTACAATGATGAAGAAAAGGAAAAGGATATATATTTCCATACTGTCATAGATCAAATATTGCCACCAGAAATGAATGAAGTAAATATTAATAGAACTGTTTTTGAACAAAACTGTTCTTCTTGTATTTTGATGAGACCAAAAGATGTAATAACGGTTTTACAAGGTGCAACAGCTGCTGGAAAAACTACTATTAAATCCTTGATTGCATCTAGTCTAGGAGAAAATAATTATTTAGAATTACCAATCACAACATAACATATACATACCCCATAAACGCCAATAAACCAAATCCTTGGTTAGACAAAACAAAATTCAAATTAGCCAGCTTTGCATCTGAGCCTGGTTTCAACGATAAAATAAATTCACAAACCGTTAAGCTAATGACAGAAATAGAAATACAGGCAAGGTTATTAAATTCAAATAAACAAAAACAAATTAATTGTTTGTTGCAATTTATCGACACTAACCCAGAATTATTGTTTGACAGAGGTGATCCTGCAACATTGCGACGCTGCGCTGGGCTGTTGTTAGGTTTCAATCAAGTTTTAAGTCAAACACAACTGAAAGCCTGTCAACAGTTTTTGAAAAACAAAGTTATAATCGAAGTGAAAATCTAAAAAAAAATATTATAGAAAAAAATATTCATTACTCTTTTTTAACATAATTAAAAACTGGTGTTTTAAATATAATCAGTTTGAAAACTTTAGTATGAAGAATACAGCTGAGATTGCTCATTATTCTCTGTTTTTGGAGTTCTTTACAAATTGTCTTGTTAATTCATTATTCATTAAAGGAATGTATTATATAAAGGAAGAAGCTGTTGATAATTATAAAATAGAAACCTTGAAATTCAGAGCCGAAAAAAAAGATTATGTTACTACAACATTTCAATATATTTTTAAAAAATTAGATAATGTTGTTATGAATAAAAACTGGAATGTTAATGTTTGTTCCTTTTTGAAACCACTTGAAGTTCGAACACAAACCAGATCAATTTATACATATATTTTCTTATCCGATATTAGAGAAGAATATTTAGAAGAGGTTATAGAAGAGTATAATATTCAACGGAAAAATAAATCGGAAAAAGTAATTACATTAGATTATTATAAAGAAAATAAAAATCTTATAGATAAAGTAAATGAAGATGGAGATGAATTTGATTTATAATTATTCATAAATATATTTTAAAAAATTCAAGAACAAGTAATCATTTTTAT